CCCCCCCCCCCCCCCCCCCCCAAAAAAAAAAAAAAAAGAGAGGACACACACAGCAACAACAACAAAACCCTGCAGGCCCAAGTGTGGGGTCCGGGTTCCCCATGGTTTATTGTTTGAAGTTAGACGCTAATACCGTGGCAATTGTTTGAAAGTATGATACTGTTCAAAATTGTTTTAGAAAGCAAAAAAGACTGCTTTAGTAAGAGAAAATGGTACTTGTTCACTCTAGGAGCCGAACCTGACTTCCACTTTATCATAAACAGACAATGCAACGTCACGGTAATGACGCATTATATTTGCACAATCACCATGACAAGCGATTGTCAATGAACCCTATAATTGACAACATGAACATATAAAAATGCAATGGTGTTACTTTCAGCATTCATCAACACCATTGCAGACAAAGTGATTTCCACAAATATTTCACTGGAAATTTGAGGTTTGTGAACTAAAATCAATGCAATCAGATTACACATAGATGCATTTGAATACCACTTTCCACGCCCTGGCCAGACAAGATGCATAATTCTAAGACTACAAAAAAGTTAGCCACTTTGGCCGAAGAAGCAATTATAAATAGAGAGAATTGGTTACACAGGCACTCAGTCCTCCTGATGGACATCTGCACTTCATGCACTGCGCTATGAAATCTATTGCTCATAATTTCCCAGTCCTTGGCGAAATTTTCTCCAAAATTGAATACCTTGATGAGCAAGGTACCCTTCACAAAAAAGAAACGACTAGACAAGAGTTGGAACTCAAGCATTCAAGTAATCTTCCCAACCACCTCTTTGGAGCTTCTCCCCCTTTACCAAGACCTCATCTCTTCTGTCCTCTTGGTATTGGACCATTCTAAAAAGTATAAAGAAATAAAAGAGGCTGTTTAGTCAGTCTCCCCCTAAGAAATAAATGTGACATGTGCTTTGGCGGAGAAAGAGAGAGGGACTAACTTTGCTTGTAAGTCGGCGTCCCCAACCCCTAACATTCTTACTGCCAACAAACCTGCATTTGTGGCATTGTTTATTGCGACTGTTGCAACTGGAACACCCCTTGGCATCTGTATAGATGAAGAAAATTTTGGACAAAGATATTTAAGCAACACAAATGCAGGTCACATGTAAGACTAAAAGGACGAGCCATGTCAGATGAAACCAGCCTTACCCATGCATGCAGGAAGGCGTTTCCATAATGCCCAAGTCACATGTAAGACTAATTACACCTAATTAATTTGCAACCAATGAGGTATTAACAAAAAAGAAAAAGATCCGCACAACCCCTTTCTACTTACATTATTACACTGATGGTTTCAAGTTTAGAATCGAGGAAAACTGAATAACAAAACTGCCACTATTTCCTCTCTAAATGCTGCAGAGGTTACATCAGTGAAAAACTGACAGTCTATAATTCATTCTTTTCAACCCCAGCACATGCTAGACCAGTAACATCACACGCTGAAAATGCAAAAATTAGGAATCGGTGTGTAGCCTTCCATATCATCCTTAAGAACAATAGGCCCGTGAAATTCTTCAACATTAAATGTTAAACACATGCAAAGAAGCTAAAAACAAACATACCTGTACAATTGATAAGAGGGAGTCAAGTCCATCCAACACAGAAGCACGTACTGGAACACCAATAACAGGTATGGGGGTCAATGCCGCTACCATGCCTAAATACAACAAAAGCTTATTCAGAGCACAATTGACATTCAATACACTACACCAGAACTTATGGAGCACAGGTCATTTAACAAACCTGGCAAGTGGGCTGCACCACCAGCCCCAGCAATAATAATCTGGATGCCTCGTTCCCGAGCAGACAAAGCATAAGAAAACATCATTTCAGGGGTCCGGTGTGCTGAAACTATTCTCACCTGCACAATTTAATTCACGAAGGTCTGCTAGAAGCTATAAGCAACATTTTAAGTGCTGATAAATGGCATTTCATGGGAATAACCTCAGCAGGCACATCAAACTCTTTCAAGATTTTTGCAGCATCTTTCATAACAGGAAGATCTGAATCAGAGCCCATTATAATTCCAACACGTGGTGTGACTGCAACAGAAAGCAATATCAATATAAAAATGGAATGTGAACATGAGTCATTGACGCCAATAAACTTGAATGAAATAAAAAATGTAGCCTAAATGGGCCTAAATCCCAATATGTTCTTATTTTATTTTGATAGTTCAACTGTTTAAACAATTTTCACAAGCTACACCATGATGAAAATAGTATAAGTCACTGAAATTGCGCCATTTTCACTTATTAAACCAGTCAACTATAACATGAAATCAGGTACATATAGCCAAGCGAAGCATAAAACAAGTTCAGGCAGATGACGCCAATCCCGATAAAGAACGTTAGCTTGTCACATACATTATTGAATCTGTCTGGAAGCAGTTACACATTTTAAACCATGGCCTTGCCATATTGTGCCCAAAACCATATTTGTTAGGATCTTATCATTCTCCATCTAAATCTTACGATTCAATCCTATTCACTACTCTTTCAATACACATTGGCAGGTTACATAAATATTTTTACAAGTCATCAGGAAGTTATGTTTATTCACAAGGGAATCACACGATTCAGAATTCAAATTGATTTGGATGACTTAGTAACCTATAAAATCGACATCCTTTAAAACCATGTGATAAATCTACGCCCAAGGGCTTTATGGTTAATACAGTTTGCCTTTTCCCTCAGTTATTTTTATTTAGATATGGTTGGAAGTGTATAAATGTTTGGTAAAGAGTATACCACTTTCTCTCTCTCTCTCTATATATGGTCATAGCTCCTTTTTACTCAACATATCTGCTATTCGTCAACGGAATTCTTTTCTTGATTAAAACAGATTGCGAAAATATTCTTCCATTGACAACAGTATGGGTTGTCCTTTTAAAAAATGTTGTTGAGTGACTCCAAGTTTGCGTAGACAACAAAATGAAAATTGCTAGTTTTTCTATCTGCCAAACAAAGACGAGATAAAATAACACAAATACTAATAATAGTTTTTGGATGGAATGCTTTGACAAAGATGGAAACATGGGATTGTAAAGAAGTCGAAATCAAATATCTAATGTTGTAATAAATTCTCCTACGCCTATGCTTTAGCAACGCGGTTTGCTATGATGATGGAATTAGTAAACTCTTAATGCAGAGGCGTAAACTCCCTTCTTCTCAACTACTTTCTTCCTTTTGAATATACTTTGGTTATGTTTTGTTGTTCAAATGTGTAAATATCCTTTTTTTTCCCTGAAAAGCTACATGTGCATATGTAATATATTGTCAGTAATTGAAATTGCCACTGAATCATTATGATTCGGAATTCCATTAGATTCTTGATTCCAAAAACATGGATTTCAAATCACGATACAAATAATCAATTCAACAACTATGTCAAACACGTAAAAATTGAAATGACCACACATCCTAAAAATTTCACAACGTCTAGCAGTTGCCCAGTGTTACCCAAACTGGCAAAACTTCATTCCACTACACATTTGGTGTTCCATACAGTTTTATTAAACACAGCCTGGCCCGGCAGGGTAACCCGGGAACTCAGCCAACTGGTGCCTAAGCCAGGCCGGTTTATATATTAAGTCGTTCAAGGAATCCATCTGCCAAAACCCACCCAAACCAGAAGCCTTTATGAAACTTGCATGAACTGGACAGTTCCCATAAATCCGGATGGATCTATTTCCTTATATTAAAACAAAATTTTTTTGACCTAAAATAAAAAATAGGACTTCAAATCTTGCGGCTTTCAAGCCAAGTTCGCTTTTTTCGATCATGATTGCCACCTCATCTTGATGATGTCAATCTGTGGCTCTAAATTCAAAGCCATTTTTCAACGTGAGGTTGTGGCAGAAGTATACCTTATATAACCGCATGCTGCTTTCATATTGATTTCCGAGGTGGGATGGCTGGTCTTGCTTCTTTTATAGCAGCATGTGTGCTTCTGGCATTTTTTTATACCTTCAAGTATACCTCTTAAGTACCAATCTTTTTCTTTCAATTTTTTTTTTCTTTTTGTTTGGTCATCATTGTGTTACTACTTATGCCAATAGTCAATACCTGTTGTGAATATTTTTTATGCTCTATTAGATTTTATAAATTTGTCTAACAAAATCAATGAATTGTGGATAGTTTTTAGCATATTCAAACCGGTTTAACATATTGACTTAACAGTTGAACCAATGACCCATTGTCCCAGTCCCTTTAGCGAATTGATGACATGGCCTGGTTTAATAACTATGGTTCCATAAAACACAATGGAGTGAAACTATGCAGGCTTAAAGACAAAGTGACTCATTTGTCAACTGAGATTCTGTCACTTGCTCAAAAAGGTACATTTATCAAGACACTCAATGACACTGACCTGCAGGCTGATCATCCATAATATCTTCCCTCAGCATTGATTTAAGCTGAGATTCCAAAATGCCCATAGAAGAGCCAACAATTGTGATATGACCCATCTTTCTTTGTTTTCGCATTTCTGCAAGACCATTGTTGAACATACAATATATCATTTGAAGAATTAAGAAAAAAGAAACCGAAGAGGCATGAAAAATATAAAGCATGAGTGAAGGTCAAGGCTATCCAACCTGGCTTATCATACCAATGAACTGTAGCACCTGGGATTCCCAAAGCCCTTCCAATAAGTTGATGAGTCCGGAGGAAACCTGGTTCTCCCTACATGCACCATATTAACATTTGATAAGTTGCTTTGTCTTCTACATCCTCAATTGCAACAACAGAGATTCCAATAGTTGATTCATAGTCATTTTTTAAAGAAAAAATTCTAAGTGTAGCATATAAAATTTCATTTAATAGTAGCAAGTACTTAAGCTTAAGCAACCAAACATCTATCGATCATGTAAACACAGATAAGGCAGGAATTTTTAACAATGCTGTAACCGATTCTCCTTCGGAGTGATATCAATAAAATCATGCCATATCAATCAAGTATTAGTCTATTTTCCTAGAAAGAGATATCCCACTTTCATAATCTAGGATATAGCACATATCCACAATAACAATAGTTGTGATGGCTGAAGTTCAAAACAGTTAAGCAATATCGTGTTGAAGTAATCACAAATATATAAGCAATATTCTGTCAGTTATTTTGAATTGCATTCCTATAGAGCCAAGATCTTGAAGTCAATGGTGACCTTTAAATAATCTTTAATTCTTCGTTCATATTATTGGGTAATTTTATTATTTATCATTTCTTTCTTATATTGGCCATTTGGCCAATTATGTTTCTATTCCAAACCCAAGCAGCAAACCCATCATATGAACCCCATCTATCTTAATAACGTGTGTAACATTAACATTTCCAGTTATTATTTTCCATGGATAACAAATAACAAATTTTTATTGAGAAATATAGACTAGTTAATGAGGTATTAGATTTTTGTTTTTGGTTCTGTTTCGTTTCTTCTTGGTACGTCATTGATGAGCATTGATAATAATGTCATGCTATATGACTTGTATGCGTTTATTTTTTCTGCAAAGCTTTACATTGATCATAGTTTCACCAAACATCCAGCTGTTTTAAGAAGTCAAGAAGGTATATGTTTTTTTATCATCCCCTCAACGTCCTTACATCTGCAAGTACTTGTGCCAAACGCAATAGTGGTAACTGAAACTTCTAGCACTAGTTTATTAATAAAGATTGCCAATGTGAAAATACCTCATCTTCACCTAGTATATTGTACATGATAGCTGCTGGAGTTTTCATAGATGGATCACCAAGTGGAAGACCAACAACAGCACGCAAATGCTGCTCGAATTGTGACGTAAAGCAAGATTCAATTGTGTGATGGCCACTGTTATGAGGTCTAGGGGCTACTTCGTTTAATAAAATCTGGGCCAAGGCAAACACACAAAGACAGAGCAGTCCAGCAGCAATGCAATGAGATAAAAAAATAAAAAAGCATCTCAAAGAAACTATTTCTAAACGATGAAATCATTACACAACCTGACCATCTGCTGTCAAAAATAACTCAACTGCAAACACACCAGCTCCTTCTAAAGAGCTAACAGCTCTGTATGCAACATCAGTTGCAAGTTTCATAATCTTCCATGGCACGTTAGCAGGTGCCTTGACAACATGACAAATGTTCTCCCTATGAGCACAAAAGATCCACAGCAACGTGGATGGATAAAAAGTTACAGCCAATAAAAAAGACACCAGGAAAAATGCATTCCCGATACTAGAAAGCAAATGTTCCAACGTATAACATAAAGAGCAAAAGGACAGTATGACCAACAAACTATTTTGCATGAAGCTGAAATCTTGCCTGTGAATAGTTTCGACCACAGGATAGCATAAAATGGAATTATCACTTCCTCTTGCAACAATGACAGCAAGCTCCTGAATCAAAAAGCAAGAATGTATTTAAGCAATTAGCCTCTAAATCTACTTTATCACTTACCAATCGAACAGTGAAAGGAAAAGATGGCAACCAAAAGCTACGTTTTTTTGTATCAAAAACAAGCCAAAGAATAAAGGGAACACCCTACGTCATCAGATTAGAATAACTCTCATGCTGTTACCAATTTTGCAACAATGTGCCCGTGCCTTACATGTTTTCCCAAAACCTAAATGACAGTGTTAAGAGTGCATATCTTTTCTCATATATGTGTTGCATTTGTTTCATCTTCTTGGTCCGAGACTAGATAAACTTACACCTCACTCGGTCAAATATTTTTTTGGGAATATTCTTGTATTCAGAAAGGTTATCGTTGTTATGACCTAGTATTTCGCAGATACTATGTCAGTGTTGATGTTATCTTTTTTAGTCATCTTCCTTTTTTTTTCTGCATCACGACATACTCTTTCTCCAGATTTAGTCTCTCTTAGTAAAAGGGAGCTCTTGTTGCCTATTGTGCTGACTATGTATGTGCTTCCTCCCCGATTACTACTCATCCCTGTAGGTTTATCACCAAAACACAAACAGGTTGTTCCATATGACCTAGCTCTACCGCAAGCACCTGCTTCTAAGGTCCTGCCCTCTGAACCGTCACTAGTTCATCCTCTTCTAATTTGCCTACTGCCTTAAGGAAAGGTAAATGTAACTGTACTATACAGCCCATTTCTATTTTTGTTTATTTGTATCAACTTTTTTTACCCTTTTGTTGTGTTGCAACGACTCTATCTTTTGTGTTTGTTCCTAGCTTTGTGAAACAGGCATTAGCATCTACTAGTTGAAAACTAACTATAGATAAGGAAATGAAAGCCCTTTATCACAACCAGACATGTGACCTTTACTCATCTTTCTTCTAGTAAGCAACCTGTCAAGTGTCATTAGGTCTACGCAAGTAAATATCATCCTCAAGGTTCAGTTGTGCGTTTGAAAGCACGCTTGGTTGTCAAAGATTACACTCAGACATATAGTGTGAGTTACTATGAGACTTTTTCTCCTATTACTCGTCTTAACTCTGTTAAAATTCTTATTTATGTTGCAGTTGATTGTGATTGACCTTTGTATCAACTGGACATCAATTATGTTTTTTTACATAGAGACCTATAGAATGAGGTATATATGGTACAACCTCCAAGTTATGTTGTATTTGATAAGGAACAATTAGTATGTGGTCTAAAGAAAGCACTATATAACCTGAAATAATCACCATACTTGGTTTGATAATTTTAGTACTATTGTAATTTAGTATGGTTTTCAGCATTCTACTTCACACTATTTAGCTTTTGTTCGTTCCTTTTATGTATGTTGATGACATTATCATTAGTGGCAATGACTTAGATTGTATTGCCCACTTTAAGGTCCATTGAGGAAAGCAGTTTCATACCAAAGATAGTATTCTTTGATATTTTTTTGAGATCAAGTTTGTCCCAACAGAAATCCATATTGGATTTATTATCTGAGACTTAGACTCTTGGGACATGTCCAACTAATACTCCTATGGACTCTATAGTTAAGTTAGACGCTAAGAGTAGTAAAATTTTTGATGATGTAGGACAATGTCAAAGGTTGGTTGGTAAACTGATTTATCTTATAGTTACTCCTAATATTATCTATGTTGTTGGATTGGCTATTCATTTTATGCACACTCCTCGTAAGCTTCATTGGAAGGTTGTTTGTTGTATTTTTCGACACCTAAAAGGAACATCGAGGAAAAAATTATTATATCGTCATTCATCATTCATAATTATTACTGATTTCTTTGATGCTCAAATGATCCACCTCAAGTTACTGTATGTTTATTGGTGGTAATTTTGTTACTTAGCGTAACAAGAAACAGAATTTGGTCCATCAATTCGAGTGCAAAGACTGAATATCAGGCTTGAGTCATACTGCGTGTGAGATATGGGTTCAGTTTCTCCTTAATGATATAGATATTGTTAAACAATCATCTACTCCAAAACCTTAAACTGTTAGAGATGATGTAACTTTAATATTTATACTTCAACATACTACACTAGATTTTGGACCTAACACATGAAAATCTTTTAATAATTAGGATGGTGGCAAGATTCAAATAGACCTTCTGCTCTGATACTATGTTAAACAATCATTTATTCCAAAAGTTTAAGCTATTAGAGAGGATGTAACTTTAGTATTTATACTTCAACACGTATTAATGTGTCTTTGTCCTATGGAGATGCATTGCAATAACTAGACAGCTATTTTCATTATCAGTAATCCAGTATGTTATGAGAGAACTAAACACGTCGAAGTGGACTTTCATTTTATTCGAGATCTCTTGATGCGTAAGAGGATTATCGGACATACATCAAGTCTAGTGATTAGTTGTGAGCAGTGTTATTAAAACCGGACCACATCGGCCGGTTAGACCGTGAACTGGGACTTAGACCGGTCTGGTTCTATAGTTGGACCGCACAAAGAAGCAAATTGTGCGTGAATCGTTAAACCAACCGGTTTTTGACTAAACCCATGGACCGAACGGTTGACCTCACCTCTCAGGCAATGAGATTTGGCATTCCGGCGACCTCTCAACCAAGTAACAGAAGGCAAGAAGGCGAGGGAAGCAGGGAGGCTAAAAAAAATTCCTCTACTCACTTTGACTAGAACCCACCACTCAGAGCTCACCTCTCAAGCAATGAGACTCAGCACTCTGACGACCTCTCAAGCGAGGAAGAGAAGGCGAGAACGCTAGGGACTCAGGGAGGCTGAAAAAAATTCCTCAGCTCACTTCGACGAGAACGAAACTCCTCTTCTAGAAGCCCTCTCACTCAGTCAGTCTCTATCTATCTCTCTCTCTCTCTCTCTCTCTCTCTC